CCCACCCCCCTGTTATGCGCAGCCGCGCGGCGTAACCCCGAGCTCAGCCCCCGTCCCACCCGCACGGGCAAGGTGGACCCATACCCATACCACACCGAGGTACCCGGGACACCGAACTCCGGCGTGTCCATCTGTGCAAAATCGCCATATCTGACGGACCGAGCTGACCGGCGGCGCGCGGCCAGTGCTGGCCCTACGCTGACCGCGCCCCGCCTGCAGGTGAGAGGTGAGGAGGGGCTTCTCCTCCCTGTCCCCCCTCCTGAGTGATGAGTGATGAGTGTGATGTTCTCTCTTACCTTGTTCTGGGCTGGCGCTGGTCCGCTGTCCCACTCACCGCGCCGATATTGCGGTCCTCGTGCGCGCGTCGCGTTGGTTCGTCAAGTCCAGGGCGGCGCTTGGTGGTGGCGAGCCACTCGGTCCGGCCCGGCCGAGGGCCCGGCCCTCTTGTATTGGAATGCACGGCCGATGCACCATGCTGGCAAGAACAAGAGTAAAGATACTTTGGGTTGCCGTTAGGTGGTTTATTCACTGATTTCGGCGGTACACTTTAATCCGTCTTACGGCGCGCGACGCACAGCGGGTGGTTCGTGACCAGTGTACTCGGTTACCGTCTTGAAGCGCGGTTGATTTGAGACTGGCGAGCGCACTCGTGATGCGTGAGCGCGCGGCCCCCTGCCCTAGTGAGTATTGCTAACAGTCGGGTCAGTCGGGTGGCGCGCGTGACTCATCACACCTAACACCTGGGCCACCGGCCGCCTCGTTTAGGTTAGTGTACGGACACATTGCATTGGTACTATTTTAACTCAATGATAATGATTCAACTATGTCGTAAATAGACTTTGGTATAGGTGGTACCAAGGTGCTAGATGCATCGGCCCGTCCTAAACTGTTTGGAATCTAACGACACGCATACTAACCTCTGCTAGGCTGTCGCTCATCTTCTGCTTTGTTTAGGGGCGGCGCTACGCCACGCCACCTCCTCAGCGCTGCCTTCTTCTTGTTGCTCTTATCGGGCAACTTCCTCATGGTCCCGCAGTCTCGCAGTCGCGGGGCGGGGGACGGAGGCACGCACGCCGCACGCCAGAGGAGGGAGGAAAGGGCGGTGGAGTGACACGCACGGGAGCCCTGCCATTTCCGTTTTTGTTCTTGTCCCTTTCTTCGCTGGGCGAGACGGCGAGTTGGCGAGACAGCGAGACGAGACGGACCCTGAGCCCGACGACCGACGACGAGACAGACTGACGCCTGGCCAGCGGCGCGCCGCCAGCGGTGCCGGCCAGAGGCCGGCGCATACTTACAGCAGCACAGCCACAGAAGCGCCCGCGCGATGCCGTTCTTTGGTCTTCTTATTTTACCCAAACACCATGGCAGTGAGCAGTTTCTCTCACGATTTCTCGACTGTTGCTGTTGTCGTCGTCGTCAATCCTACCGCTAGGCAGAGCAGAACAGCCGAACAGCCCAAGGTCGCACTTTTCCTTCCTCCCCTCCCCCTCCCACTTGTAAACTCCCTCCCTATGCCCTGGGGGGGGGGGGGGGGTGCTCGGGAACCAAGTGAGAGAACGACTAGTGCCGTGAACGCGTGAAGGAACGGCCGCAGGGAGAGAACGTTCTCCATTAGCTCTTATGGCGCGTTCACCAGTTCGTTCTCTTCTCCGCCGCGTTCCCGTTCCCGTTCACGTTCTCCGAGTTGTTCCCGAGCGAGCAGCCCCCCTGTCCCCCCGCGCGTCGTCTGCTTTCCGGGGACTCTTGCCGCTCAGCGTTTTCTCGTGCCCTCTCGCTCCCCCCCGGTGGCGGTGACCTGTGTGTGCGACAAGGACGGAAGTACGAAAGCGCAGCAGGTGGTCGCACTTCGGAATCTTGCTGCCGTGCCGTACGCCCCGGCAGTCGGCTCTGCGGTCTCTGGTCCGCAGTCTGTGTGTGTTCGCCCTGACGAGTAGACTTGTCTACAGCGTGCCGCTCGCGGCCGCTCGCGGCCGCTCGCTATCATTAAAACTTTACCGGAATGAGCTATTCGTTGAACCCCTGTCGCTTTGCCGCGGCCGCGCCGATCTTTTGAGCCCTCCCCCCACTCCAACCCTTCTACCCGGCCGCGTACCAGAGTCTCCTGTCGCCCGCCAACCCGTCTCGTCGGACTGTAGAGCCAGTGAAGTGAACTGTGTTAAAGGATATTTTGTGTTTTGTGCATGTCACGTGCGTGCACAAAGTGTGTATGTGGGAACGGAACATTTGTTCCGTCGTCCGCCGTTCGGTGAAGGGAGGTCTCCCCACCCTCCCTCACGCTTTCCGAGGCGCTGCTACTTTTCTTCTCTCATCTGCTGTTTCTTCATTGGTGAGCCAATCTATTCCAACCAACGGTTTCGCTGCAGTGGTGGAGGGGGCGCGAAAAAGGAAATCGAGAAATCACTTTGGGGTTGATAACACTCGCTCTTTGTTTTTCTTCCGCTCGTACGTTCTCTGCTTTTAGGTTATGTCAACCGCTTCTGAACATTTTACTTCGTTCATCATAGTAATATATTTTTACAGTGTACCGTAGGATGTGTTCTTTCCGCCGAAACCAGTTACTTTTTCTACAGTATATTCCATAGCACATCTAGCGATTTATTTTTGTTTCGGGCCAAGGCTGAACATTGACATTCTCATTCTTCATTCTTCTGCGACCGGTGCCTGTTACCGAAAAATATTGAGGCTCTGTCCCTAAGAAGTTCGTGATGAAGAAACGATAAAGTATGATTGACATTTGAAGCGACGGTACGCCCCAGAGGACCTACCCGAACATCACAATATCGCGGTTGGTTGGGGCAGGTCACATATCAACGGGACACCTCCCTGTTTTTGGATCCGCATCCGCCACACTGCCTCCCCAAGCCGTGCCCCCCGCGAGAGCTGAGCTGCGCCCCTGCTCCGTCCTCCACTCCGTCCTCGCCTCCTTCCTCCCCCCGCCCCCTCCTCCGCTCCTACGCCTGCCTCCGCCCGCCTTCACCCCCCGCGCTCCCCGCGCCTGCCTCGCCTGCCTCGCCTGCCCTCCTGCCGGGCCGGCCGGCCGGTCGCCGGTCGCCGGTCGCGCCAGCGCCAGCCTCACACCCTCACCCTCACCCCAGTGTTGCTCAGTCAGCAGTCGCGGCAGGACGTTCGTTGTGTCAGCCGTTGTGTGCCGAGACGCGCCGGGGACTCCCCTAGAAGACTTGTGTTGCCGCAGTGAGCAGGACTACTCCAGTTGAGCAGGTGAGTTGTCGTGTGCCCTGTGTGTTTGTGTTGCTGTGATCCAGTGTTTGAGTGCTCTGTTCCCTGTGCGTGTGCCGGCGTTCCGTGCCGTGCCCTGCCGTCGCGGCGGCGTTGTCTTTTACCCGTTCTCACCGCCTGAACGCCCGGAGGGCTGGTCGGCTGGTCACTGGGGTGTTAGTCTTGTTCACGTTGCTCTGTGCCGAGGCAAAGAAGAACGCGGGGGACGTGAAAACGGGTGCAACAGCGTTATTGCAGGGTGATTTCCGTCTTCTTGTCCCTCGCATTCTTATTAGTTTTTCAGTGTTACCGGGATTGTTGACTGTTGCGCAATAGTGCGTAGGCGTAGAATAATTCGTTGAAGTTGCGTGAGACTGCCTAGTGAGTAGGTACCCCTTCGGCAACACAGGCGGGCCCCCATCAGTAAACTTGTGATCTTTTCTTCGCTATACTTTTATAAAAACAGATCAAGTGTCGGAAAACCGGGGCTCGCGAACAACCTCTTGATTTTCTTGGACGCGCAGCTCAGGAACGTCTCGTAGTAAACCGTACTCTACTAGCTGTGTACTTAAATAAACTCTAAAATTTACGGTCTTTGCAAAAGCGCACGGTCAACAAGGCTCTCGCAGTGCGCGCGGATCGCCGCGAGCCACGAGCTTGCGACCCCTCAAGGCGAATAAAGATCTCCGTCCGCGTGCCCGCGTGCCCTGACGGTCAGGTAGTCACGTCAATTTCTCATGCTGGTATGTGGCCTACCGGTTGGGGGCGATTTGTAATTTCAATAGACAATTTTAAGGGTTAGGTGATTAGAAAAAGAAAAGAATAACCGGAAAAGCACTGCCTTCTAATCGCCCCCCACCCTCCGTCCGTCTTCACCCCTCGCTTAACTGTTTCCTGTTTCGGTTATTCTTTTCTTCTTCTAGTCACCGCGACTGAAATGGTCTATTTATTTTTCAAAATTTATTTTCTGAGGAAATCCAGTGCGCCTGCACAACATTTCTTTGGGCAGGATACGCACGCGGTGCCTCCCGCATTGTCGGACGCTCATAAAGAAATCCCCGTTGTTCACTGCTGCAGCCCTCTCTTGCAATCCGTTAAAAAAAAATACTCTGAGCAATAATGGAAGAAGAAAGTGTATTGGCCTTCCTTGACCTTGCTCCCGGCTCCGAGTCCGCCGTGTTTCCGCGTTGCTCATATTTTTATTGCCCCCTCTGGTCCTACCCGGTGCAGGTACTTCTCGGGTAATTCGGTCTCGCAGAGTCAAGGCTGAGACCGTAGTGCTATCTCCATTTCTCCAAATTGTTTCATCGTTTTTTTTGTTCGCTAGCCGGGCTTGGTGATCGTAAACAAACAGCAACAGGCTTTTTTTTGGGTAGAGATGGCGAGAGCGAGGGTTGGGAAGGAGGGGGGGGGGGCTAACTTCTCTGAAACGGAAAGCATAGGCTGCGTCCCCTGCAGATCACAAACATGGTTTCATGTGACGAGCGCTCGCAGCGTCCGGCGCGGCTCGGGTTGAGTCAGGCACAGTTTGAGAGGCGGGGGAGGGGGGGG